GTTGAATTTATAGAAAATAAATTTTATAATGACTACTCAATGTCTGGAAAAGAGAATGATCAAACACCTTTCTCAAATCCAACTACTAGTCATTCTCATGGTGAGAGAAGAAAACAGTCTGAAACTATTAATGAACCAAGGAGAAGCCAAAGAGTAAGAAAAGAGAAGACTCTAGGCTCTGATTTTATTTCGTCTCAATCTATTGTATTTTTAGTCAAAGGAAATAGAAAAAGGGTTCTAAAAAAATATACCCATATTGTTGAATATTAAGGATGATCCTAAAAGTCTAAGCGAAGCATTGACTTCAAGAGATGCAGCTTTTGGAAAGAGGTTATAGATGATGAATTTGAATCATTAATATCTAATTAGATATGGGTTTTAGTAGACTTGCCCCAAGGATGAAAAGCAATAGGTTGTAAGTGAGTGTTTAGAAGAAAATATAATACAGAGGGGTCTATTTAGACATTTAAAGTCAGGCTGGTTGCCAAGGGTTTTAAGTATAAAAAAGGAATAGACTATTTCGATATGTATACACTAGTAGCTAGGCTCACATCAATTAGAATATTGTTTTCGTTGGCATCTTTATATAATTTGCATGTGCATCAAATGGATGTGAAAATGGCTTTTTTCAATGGTGATTTAGATGAAGAAGTCTATACAGAATAACCAGAAGGGTTTGTTCTTCCTGTGAAAGAAAGTTTGTAAACTAGTCAAGTCGTTATATGGGTTGAAGCAAGCACCAAAACAATGGCACGAAAAGTTTGATTGTGTAATTTTATTGTAACATCTCACATCGTCCAGGGGAGTGGATCCTATAAGCCTTATATGTATATTCCCATCTTTACCCAGTATAAGACCTTTTGGAAGCTCACTGGCTTCAAGTTCCATCAGAACTCTGAAGTTAAGCGATTTTGCACGAGAGCAATCCCAGGATGGGTGACCCACTAGGAAGTGCTTGCGTGAGTTCCCAAAAACAAAACCGTGAAAGTGTGGTCAGGGCCTAAACCAGACAATATCGTGCTACGGTGTAGTGGAGCCCGGGATGTGGTTGGGGCCCGAGCTGAGATGTGACAATTTGGTATCAGAGCCAATCCTTGGCCAGAAGTGTGCCGACGAGGACATCGGGCCCCTAAGGGGGGTGGATCGTAACATTCCACATCGTCCACGAGAGTGGATCATGTAAGCCTTATATATATATATTCTCATCTTTACCTATCACGAGGCATTTTGGGAGCTCACTGGCTTCGGGTTTCGTAAGAACTCCGAATTAAACGAGTTCACGCGAGAGCAATCCTAGGATGGGTGACCTACTAGGTAGTTCTTATGTGAGTTCCTAGAAACAAAACTGTGAGGGCATGGTCTGGGCCCAAAGAGGACAATATCGTGCTATGGTGGAGTTAAGCCCGGGATGTGGTGGGCCCGAGTTAGCATATGACAATTAATTTGGTATCAGAGCCAATACCTGGCCGGAAATATGTCGACGAGGACATCGGGCCCTTAAGGGGGGTGGATTATAACATCCCACATCGCCCAGGGGAATGGATCCTGTAAGCCTTATATGTATGTTCTCATCTCTACCTAGTATGAGGCTTTTTGGGAGCTCACTGACTTCGGGTTCCATAGGAACTACGAAGTTAAGCGAGTTCGCGCGAGAGCAATCCCAAGATGGGTGACCCACTGGGAAGTTCTTGTGTGAGTTCCCAGAAACAAAATCGTGAGGGCGTGGTCGAGGCCCAAAACGGACAATATCGTGCTACGGTGGAGTCGAACTCGGGATGTGATGGGGGCCCAAGCCGGGATGTGACATTTATCATATGGATTTAGACAGAACAATGCTAATAAATGCATATACTCAAAATTCACAAATGATTATGGTGTTGTTATATGTTTATATGTCGACGACTTGCTATTTTTTGGTACAAACATGAAAAATGTATCTGAAACTAAAGAATATCTAAATTTAAAATTCAAAATGAATGACTTGAATGAAGTAGATACTATCTTGGGAATTAAAGTAAAGAAGTAGAATAGGGGTTATGCTTTGTGTCGGTCACATTATATAGAAAAATTGCTTCTTAAGTTTAAGCATCTACAAATAAAATAAGCAAATACCCCTTATGACTCTACTGAGACTTTGCTTAATAATTATGGTAGGTTCGTTGCACAGCTTGAGCATGCTAGTGTAATCGGAAGTTTAATGCATGTCATGCATTGTACGAAGCCAGATATCGCATTTGCAGTAAGCAAACTTTCTAGATACACTAGTCATCCATATACTACTCATTGGAAAGAAACAAATAGAATTTTTGGTTATCTTAAAAGAACTATTAACCTAAGTTTAACTTACTCTAAGTTTCTAGCAGTACTTGAAGGATATTCAGATGCAAGTTGGATAACAAGTGCGAATGATAATAAGTCTACATCAGGGTGGATTTTTACAATTTCTGGAGGAGCAATTTCTTGGGCTTCAAAGAAGCAAAATGTATAGCACATTCAACTATGAAATTTGAATTTATAGCATTAGCGGCAACAAGTAAAGAAGTGGAATGGATTAGAAATTTGTTATTGGAAATAGAGTTGCGGTCATAACCAATGTCATCCATTTCTTTATATTGTGATAGTAAGGCTATTTTGTCTAGAGCATACAATAAGGTATACAATGGAAAGTCTAGACATATTAGCTTGAGACATGAATATGTCAAGAAATTAATAACTGATGGAGTTATTAATATTATTTATGTTAAATCAAGTAACTTGGCGGATCCATTAAAGAAAGCACTTTCATGAGCTTTGGTTGTTAGTACATCTAGTGGAATGGGGCTAAAATCCGTTATTGTAACCCAACTTTGTCTAGAACATCACTAGTTTAAAAAGTTTAATGAGTGATAACAAGTTATTGATAAGTGGTTGTGAAAGCACTTTTAGTTCATTCTAGGATGATCAATGCAAGGCTGCTACGTTTAGTAGGTTGAGTTTAATCTCTGAATGAGGTTATTTATAGTTATGTATATAGTAGCAGGGACATGAGAATTAACCTCACCTATATGAACATGAGAAGTGGTGCCGCTTCTACCAAGAGTTGGGTTTTCTTTTGTAAATGTTCATGAAACCAGGATGAAGCACAAGGCCATAATGGTGCTTAATTAGTTCAGAAATTTCTTTAAGGAAATAAGATATAGTCATGTGTGTAATGATTCCGGTTTTAACATAAGAATAGTTAGTTTAGACTTAGTTCACCATCGCATTCGTTATAACTTTCAATTACTTACACTAATTAAAGGTTTAATTTGAAAGACACATTTATTGTATGCATGATTATATCAATACGTTTGTGGTTAATTATAAAAAGAGAATTGTTATTATATCATTTACCATATTTTTTAAATTTAGAAGGATTGTTAGAGATTTCAACAATAAATTTAAAAAAAAAATATATATATATATATATGTATATATAATGGTGCGGCGTGCGCAGTATGTATGTGGCAACCTTTATAATTGTTGTATAATCCACCCTTTTACTCTTGTACCTTTCGGTTGAATTGTTGCTACGTTTGATTAAAAGACATAATGTTTGAGAGCGTTATACTTAGACAGTATGACTAAAATTAAAAGGATGCAACCAGTCAATATTAATTTATGAAATTGGACATGTCTTTTGGGTCAACACTTTTAATAAAAGTTGTATATCTTCAACCAGAATGAATGGGTGCTTTAATGACTATAAATACATGTTGTGGTATAATGTTTCACACACAATTCAGAAATTTGTTGTCTACACAATTTTTTTGCTCTACAATTTCTTTCTAGTTATTTTTTCAGGAAATACAATTCGGTTTTGCTAATCGAATATTTCATACTTTGTTGTATCGTGAAAGTGATTTGTAAGAACCCTTTAGCAAACTCATTCGAGTGGGAGCAAATAACACTTTAAGGAAACGATTCAAGTCGTACCTCAAAGTCATCCTTCAGATTATTCTCTATGTTTCTACATTACTCAAACAGGACGCGCGTTGGGCATCCATGTTTATAATTTTTTCATTTTTTATTTTTGTCATTATTATTAAATAAAGTTATTTGATAATTTTTGGTAAAATGCAAAGTTTTGAAATCCTTTTTATTAATTTTCCTAAAGATTAAACCAACAACAAGAGAGTCAATCAAAATAAAAGAAGAAATGAAATACGGCATCACAAATAAGTTTCACTTCTAGCGAGACGACTTGGAAGTCTGTAAAGTATATAAAATAAAACTCCTAATTCTCTCATCTAATCCAACCTCAGCTCAGTCTACCTCTTTGCCATTCTTGTTCCAAATCTGTAAGGTCTAGTGAGCGAAATCATAACTCAATAAGGACATAAGTCTTATCAAAGATCATTGTCAAGGCTAAGCTCAATGTCACAATCACGTAATTCAATTATAGCATGTTATCATCATAAGGGATACATATTATATTTCATAAATGTAGCTTAACTTCACAAATAGATATGCGTGTCTCCTACCATGTAATTTATACCACCATAAGAATGCTCTATTATACAAACTTACCCTTATAACTCAATAATCCTAATTTCCCCTTTTTGGCTACCATTGATCTCCAGCCTAAATCACCCAATAATCCACAATTATTTGACGATATTCTAATATAACGTGGTGTATCAGATACAGCACAAGAATTTATCAATATGGTGGGACCTACTTATTAGAGATGACTTTGAATTTATAAAGAAATAACTAGTAAACAAATCAATGGAACCAAAGATAGGCAAGAAGGCTCCACGTCGTCTACATAATCTTTTATATCATAACCTTTGCCTTTTACCTTATCAATCAGTATTACTTGACTACTTATTTGTATGGTTTGCGCCCCTTCTTTGACCGCATATTAAACAAGAGTATTAAGATTTCTTTTCCAAACCCTCACAAAGATCACTTAGCAAATATAGCAACCCAGAATATCTTGCATGGACCTTTAAACTATCCAATATTCTTAACTCCATTCTCCAAGATATATATAAGAGAGATCATGCTGCAAAACAGCACATATCCCTGCAATTGCATTGATCGTAACGTCAACCTGCTGAAATGGCACCTTTCCTTTTATTTCTCTTCCCTCTCCTTGGTCTTTCATGTAAGTATACGAAACCATGCACCTAATTAGATCATCACCTTGCTATATAGTAATAAGTTAATAACCCTAAATTTCATGTTTCACTACATTTTTTTTTTCTGTATTTGAATACAGTTGCAGAGATCTCAAGCAAAATTGGCATAAACTATGGGCGGCTAGGCAACAATTTGCCGTCTGCAAATCGGTCTATCGAGCTCCTCATGGCCATGAACGCAGGGCGTGTGAAACTCTATGACGCAGACCCGGAAATCCTAAAACTCTTATCTGGAACGAATCTCCAAGTCTCAATTATGGTCCAAACAATGAAATCTCAACCATTGCATCAGATCAAACCAAAGCCGATGAATGGGTCCGAAACAATGTCCTCCCCTATTACCCCGAAACCATGATCCGGTACCTCCTCATAGGCAATGAAGTCCTTAGTTACAACTCCTCGGACCAAGATCGCCAAATGTGGTACGATCTAGTCCCTGCCATGAGTAAAATTAAGTCCTCCCTCAAATCACAAAACATCACAAACATCAAAGTAGGTACCCCATTGGCCATGGATGCGTTGCAATCAACATTTCCACCATCAAAAGCCACGTTTCGGGCTGATATATCTGATACGGTCATGGCTCCGATGCTGAGATTCTTGAACCGGACCAAGTCCTTTTTCTTCATTGATGTGTACCCTTTTTTCCCATGGTCTTCAAACCCTGGCAACATTAGCCTAGACTTTGCATTATTTAGAGGAAACAGTACCATGGAGTACACTGACCCGGGAACTGGGTTGGTCTACACTAACCTCCTAGACCAAATGCTTGACTCATTGATCTTTGCCATGACCAAGCTTGGGTACCCCAACATCCGGCTCTGATCACGGAAACCGGCTGGCCTAGTTCTGGGGACATTGAACAACCCGGTGCTAATATACACAATGCCGCCACATATAACCGCAATTTGATACACAGAATGGTTGCAAAACCACCTCTTGGAACACCAGCTAGGCCTGGTGTTGTCATACCTACATTCATATTTTCATTGTTCGATGAAAATCAAAAGACAGGACCAGGGACGGAGAGGCACTGGGGTTTGTTGCATGCTGATGGAACTCCCATTTATGACGTTGACTTGACAGGTATGGTCCTCAAATTCCTCGAGTAAACCAATTTTTATATATGTTTTAAAGAAGTGATTTCTATACACCCACACTCTTGTTTATTTCTTGCATTTAGATTAAATAAATCAAACGAGAATGAGAGAAAGAAATAAACAATGACGTGCAAAATGAAAAAGTGTGGGCATAAATGGTTTTCCATTTTTACATTTTACTCAAAAGTTTCACATACTTTCTTTTTTTTGGTTCTATTTTACATACTTTCTTAAATGAAACTTTCAATCGCATGTCTAGTGTATACCCTTTCTCTAGTAAAGGTGGAATAAACTTTTTAGATTGTTTAGCTGATAAGGTACAAAGAACTGTGTTCTTTCTACATTTTCAAACTTTTTGATATTTCTCTTTAACGACTTGATTATATATGTATATATATTGTAGGGAAGCGGCCGTTGGAGGACTACGAGCCCTTGCCGGAGGAGGAAAACAACAGGCCATACAAGGGCGCGGTGTGGTGCGTGGTGGCGAAGGGTGTGAGTGTGAATGACGAAGAACTGGGGTCGGCTGTAAACAATGCGTGCATTGCAGGGAATGCCAGTGGGGCGTGTGATGCTCTTTCACCAGGAAAGGAGTGTTATGAACCGGTTTCGTTGACCTGGCATGCGAGCTATGCTTTCAGCTCGTACTGGGCCAAGTTTAGGAGCCAGGGAGCTACTTGCCATTTCAATGGGCTGGCTGAGCAAACATCTCTGGACCCAAGTAAGTTTTTTTTTTTTTTTGCTCTTCTCCGAAGGGAATGCCAATTAATACGAGAGATTTTTGTTTTTTATTTTTTGTTTACTCTGACGGGAATCGAATCATGAATTTATTTTAATTTTAATATATTACTTTACATTTGTGACTATTTGAGTCGGGTTCAAATAAAATTTCCAACCAACATCTTCTTAATTAAACTTTTTCTCACGCTATTTTCATGGGAATTAAGATTGATTAACTAGTATTCTTCTTGCAGGTCATGGATCTTGCAAGTTCCCTAGTGTGATTTTTTGAAGATTATCATAAAATGCTGCTCTTAAAAATAAAAGCAGCTGGTCAGGCTAAAACAATATTGCAAGAGATGGTGTCTCAATTGTTAGATTTGAAAGCATAACTGTAACAGATGAACGTTAATTTGCTTGTTATTAATTTATATGTAACTGAGAAAATGTTGCTTTTGTTCAATGCAACTCTTCAATTATCCGTTTTTGTTCAATGCTGATGGGAAGTGTCCCAGCCCCGCAAGTGTCAAACACTTCTAGTTTTGGTCTCTATGATGACACTATGCCTCTTTTGACAGCCGAGGCCATACAAGTACGCTATACTCATGAGGGTAGATCAATAGAACCAATTTTCATTTCCAACGTTAATACCAGTCGTGCTGGAAATAAAATATAAAGAAAGAGATAATAAGAGAGAATAGAGAGAAACAAGAGAAAGGTTGAGGGGAGAAATAAAAAAGTGTCATTTCTTCTCACTAGAATGTCTATATATAGATATAGAATTTACATAGAAATGATCGTAACTAATTAGATATAAGTAGTGTTATTCACACTTTTTTTTTTTACTTCTCACATATTCTTATTAGTTTTTTATCCATTAATCTTCTTTAATTAATTTTATCATATGACCAAAAATTCATACGAATGTGTAAAAAATAAAATAAGTATGTGAATAGGATCAACCTGGCATATCACATATATTGGCCCCAGCCGTATATTGCGGACAACCACATAATTGACAAACACAGCTACTATATAATGACATATGGAAATTAATGGAGGGTCAGGGGCCACAATGACGGTGACAACATCAATCAATCAATGAGTAATAAGACCATGTACCTAATAGCATAATGTGACTTAGTATATGATTTGGTTGTATTTCTCTTCGTTGCTAAATAAAAAGTTTTATGTTCAATTCTATTCAATGATGAATTTGAATCATATTATTACTAATTTGTTGTAAGATTTAGCTCACTCTCCCACCCTCTTAGTGTACTATCAATTGTCCAAAAAAAAAAAAAAATCAACATGCGCTAGTCAAGTGGTTGGCAAAGGCCTAGCGCCAGGCGTCTAGCGAGAGACTAGGCAGTTTTTTAATTTATATAACGTATAAATAAATGTCTACTTATACTTAAATAAAAATACATAATTGTATTAAAATAAATAAATTGCAAATAGAATGACATAGAGATTATAAAGTATTAGAAAATATTGAAAAATATGGGAAATGTTCATCTAAGTATTTAACAAATCTTTTACAATTTCTTGAAAAAATAAATATAAAATAAAATTTATTTTCTATCTAAATGAGAGTTGCGTGCGACTTAGCCAATGTTTAAGTGGACTAAGCTAGCGTCTAGTCGTCTTTTTATTTTAATTTTTTATATAATTTTCAAATGTTTAAGAATTAATTGAGGCAGTCGATCACCTGCCTAGCACTTAAGCGACAAGAGTGAAAGTTGTGTTACTTTTTTTAGTAAATTGTAAAAATGGTCTCTCAACTTTAATTCAATTAGAGCAATGGTCGTTCAACTAAAAATCCATTAGTATTGATCCCTCAACTCATCAAAACAGTGCAGATATAGTCCATCAACTAAAAATCTATTAATAATAGTTCCTCAACTTTAATCTAACTGGAGATATGGTTTATCAACTTTAACCTAATTAAAGAAATGATTCATCAATTTTAACCCAATTGTAGCAATAATCATTTCAACCTAACTCATTTTGGTAAAATTTTAATGAAGTTGACGAAAATGATCCTAGTTACACGTTTTGATGAGTTGAGGGACCACAGCTCCAATTTGATTAAAGTTAAAAGAACATTTCTACAATTTACTTTTTTTTTTTTTTTTTTAATAAAATGTTTGCTGGTTTGGACTTGGTATATAAAGGTACAAGACAAAACGTAGATAAAGGTACAAGACAAAACGAACATCTAACGTGTTTTGATAAAGTATGGCAATTGATGATCTCACTATCAAAACCAGTTGTGTTGCAAAGGGGCGAACACTTCAAAGATCCCATCTAATCGTCCCACTTTTTTAGTACTTTGGTCGACTAAAGATCTCAATTTCCACACTCCGACGAACACTATGAAGCTCGTATCGTTGTTCTTGTCGCTGTGACATCTCTCCTTCACACTCTCAGTATATTACGCATAAAATCTGTAGAAAGTCAGAGACGCACGATTACAAAACACACAGAGATATCAGCTATGCTTTCTTCATCTGCTGCTTCTGCAAATCAAATTGGCGCCACCTTTTCCTTGAGGCCCAACTTCTTGTTGGCAAGCTCTTCTGATTGTGGGGGTGCCCTTCAATTCCTGTTTTCTAGCTACAGTTTCAGAAGCAGAAGTGTTTTTCTTCGAACATGGCATGGAAGGCGAGGTGGGTTTCTTCCGAATCGCGGGTTTCGAGTGTTTTGCGAATCAAAGGTGATTCTTGAACACCCTTTTCTGAGAATTTCATGAATTTTTTAAATTTTGGTTGGTTTATGTTGAATTTGTATCATTTCCGCTTTTTTTAATATGTTTTTGTTCATTATGTTACTACTTTTATAATTCTATTAGTGCTGGTGAGATTGTGACTGCATTTGATAGTATTCTGAGATAGGAGCTGTGTTGAGATTTCTAGACATGAAATCGGGTTTAGTATATTAGTTTCGGTTATTGTTGAATGTACTTCTGACTCTGGGTGCGTTACAAACTGAGTAGGCAATCATGTTATGTGCTCGTTAGTTAGTAATTTGAATTGTTTTGGTTTGTTGCTGGTTGCACCGCCGTTTCTGTGACATTCTTACCACTATTCCTAATGTCATGTTTTAAATAGGGAATCAGACACCGGTAGGTAATTCACCTTGCAATGTGGTCTAACGATCCCGAGTATTTGGATTGAAACACAGCCAGAAGGTACTGAATACTGACATATATTTGTATCTGAAATATACAGTTACAGACAGAGGAACTGCTGATAAGAAGGTATTCACCGTTTCTAGAAAGTGCGTTCCTAAACAGGAAGGGTTCTTCTGTATCTGATGAGTGGCAGGCAGTTCCTGACATTTGGAGATCTTCAGCCGAGAGATATGGTGATCGTGTAGCATTGACAGATCCATACCATGACCCCCCTTCAAGTATGACTTATAAACAGGTTAATTTTCTTTTCCGATTCTAATTCTCCCGTACATATTTGTTTTACCTTCACTGTTTGTTCCTTTATCTTCTTTTGCGTGCTTCATCCAATTGTCTCTATATCCAATTGCCTCTATATCGCGTGGTTCAGGAAAACCGATACCGATTTTATCATTTCTTCTTCCGATGTTAATACAAAGAAATGATAGTACTATGTTTATAACTTTTGTTTTTATTCCAATTTTGAAATTGCAGCTGGAAGAGGAAATTTTGGATTTCTCTGAAGGCCTAAGAGTTGTTGGAGTAAAGCCTGAAGACAAAATTGCACTTTTTGCCGATAATTCATGTCGTTGGCTTGTAGCAGATCAGGGTACAGTTCCATTTTTGGCCTACCAAATGTGCTATTAAATAAATTTTGTATTCTTCTCTATGTATGATTTATGGATTTTAATTATCCTCATGTTTTATGTTGGTTTAGGTATAATGGCTACTGGAGCTATCAATGTGGTAAGAGGTTCAAGGTCTTCAGTGGAAGAGTTGTTACAAATATATGATCACTCTGAAAGGTGTGGACAAAGCACTTTCTTACTTGCTTGTTCTGCTTATTCGAGTCAATTTCCACCACCTTTGTTATATTAATATATGAATTATTAGATGTATATTTTACATTATATTCACCGGTAAAATTCATTTCCAATCTTGACACTCTACATGGTTTGTCTCATCGGTTTCTATTTGATACTCTTCTCATAATTGTGCAGTTGTAACTTTTTATAGTAACATGATTTCACAGTCGATCTTTTTTTAAGCCTTAATGAGTGCAAATGTGTTCTTTCAAATAACCTTAAGCATTTTTAACACATGTTTCCTTCTCTTTTTTCCTTGATGACTCCATAAAATAATCTTAAGTTTCATCACTACTACAGTGTCGCACTTGCTGTGGACAGTCCTGAATTGTTCAATCGGATCGCAGAAGCATTCTCTTCCAAGGTTGTCATGAAATTTGTAATTCTGCTTTGGGGGGAGAAGTCAAGCCTGGCCAGTGAAGAGGAGACTCCTGTTTTTAACTACAAGGAGATTCTGGATCTGGGTCGAGGGAGTTGTAAGAGTATGCTCGACTTTAATGATGCCCGTATGTCATCCCTCTGTCTTTGCTAGCAGTTTCTTTTATGCTTTAAGATAGTACCAAAGATCTAGGATGCTAGGGCGGCAGTAACCTTAGTTTAAATAGTCTATTAGGAGACCTCGTATTCAGTCTATTACTAATTTCATGCCAGTAACCAGATTATAGAGTTTCTCTTGGGTGTCTTGCCGTTGAACTCAATCATAGTTGTTCACAGTTCGATTTTATTTCTCTATTTCTGTTGTTTGTTTCTGGGAATTGTCTTCTATTCTGGTTTTCAATCAATGTAGCGGCTGGATGGCAGCTTATCACTACTGCCCTGCATCATCGTACTTTGGGAATACATATGCTCTTTGATAGTATTTGTTTAACATGGAAATTGCACTGCTTATAATTTCTGTTTCTATGCACTTCTTCAGCAATATAATATTCCTCTCTTTGGGTAAATGAATGCAACGCCCATGTGGCTTAATTTCAGGGGGAAAGTATACGTATGAAACTATCAACTCAGATGATGTAGCTACACTAGTATATACAAGCGGAACAACTGGGAACCCGAAAGGTGTCATGCTAACTCATCGAAATCTGTTGCATCAGGTTTGTATGTTGAATACTCTTGGTATGATCAACAAAGCACTAGTATCTAGACTGTAACTTCACTGGATTAATTTATTGTCATTTAACCTTTTCTGTTTGATACGTAAAACTGCACTGACGAAAACATGCATCTCCCCGTTATATCAAAAGTACTACAAAAGCCATTTAAAGAATAAGAAAAAGGTCATATTTGATAATCAATGTGAATGTGCAATATATGGTGTACTACCGAAGAAGTTGGAAAAGCTACCAAGTACATAGATTTAGCTTGTTTTCAACTCATCTTGTCCTCTCTAGAGCTCTAGCAATTCGAATACATGATGAGCCCTACATCATAGGAAGAATCTGACATTAAAATAAA